TGAATTTGCCTCATTATTAAGATACAAAAAGACAGCGATTTTCTACCCCATCTCCTGTACTCGCGCGCACTCTCTAAGTAATTAAAAAGTGATAACTTCTAATCACAGTTTCATTCCTGTCAGCATTTTCTGCATCTCCTCCGCTCGGCGCTCTCATTATTTCACGGGGCCTCGTTTTGTTTCAGGGCGGAGATTAGAGAGTAGCTTTGTGGTGTGTTTTTTTTTTTTTTTTTTTTTTTTGTGGGTTTTGTCGAGAGCATGATATATATGTGTGTGTTAGTGAAAGTGTGTGTAGCACAGTTTGCCAGAGACAGGATGGAGGGGTCACTCTGCACATGGTTGACCCGCTGTTGCCAGCAAGCCTAGGCCAGCTCACAGGAAAGGGAGGCAGAAAATAACTTTGCTGCGATGCTGTTGTCTCTTTCCTCAGCTTGTCTTCTTTGTATTTGTCCACCAATAGTGTGCCATCTTTTTTTCTCTTTCTGTCAGTCTGCCTTCAAGCTCCTCTTCTTCTTTTTTTTCTTACAACATCCTCCCTCTCCCTCCTCGCATGCACCAGAATTATCCCTCAATCAGTCATTTTATTTTCCTTTCTCCTCATTGTGAGGTAAAGGTGTAAAGCGGCGAAGAGGCAGACATTAAGGCGATTAATTGGCAGCTCCATCGTCGCCGTCGAGCGCGGCGAGATCTCATCTTAATTGAATGTCGCTCTCACCGCTAATCCCCCCCGCTTTGAAACCCCCCATTTAGAAATCCTCAGCGACAAAAGGCTCTGTGTGTAATCGCTGTGTATCACCCCCCCCTCCTCGCCACCCACCCCGGGGTAAGAAAAAGCTTCTTTTTGTCTCCTCATTTGGGTGTTGAAGAGGGTGGTCTCTCTCCTGGCTAAAAGCTTGTTAAAGAGCCATTGCTGAGGGCTAACAGCGGAGAGAGGAGGGGTCGCAGAGTGGAGCCAAGGGGTCCCAGTCGACCCGAGAACGCAATTTGCCCCCAAGGAAAGGGCATTAGTGGGGATATTGGAGAGTGTGAGAGTCTGTCTGTGTTTAGACCACCACTGAGATGCAGTTGGTTGAGTAAATAGATGTAAATCTGCAGTGAGATACAATAAATAAACATGCGACTTCTCATTTAAATAACTTCCCAGCATCTTGGTTTTTTCCAAAGCCTTCAGAGGCTGCTGTGCTCTGATATAGCCACCTTCACCTTGCGTGTTATTGCAGCTAGATCACAGAGGTATTTAAAACCTCCCAGGTTGCCACCTGAGTCTTCTCAAGTGTCTCTGAAGCAGGAAGTAGCAGATTGTCTTTGTAATTCCTCTGGTTTTGAGTAACAGCACTCCGAAATGCCTTGTTGATAAAAATAAGCCCTGACTGAAAACCTGAAATTATACTGAAGTAGAAAATAGATTCTGTGACTTTTGAAGGACGTCTTCTTGCTTGATTTATCTCGTTGTCATCATATCCTGGAGCTGAATATGAACCTCCGCCACCTGAGAGATAATTATCAGTAAAGCCTATATTGTTTTTTACTCATAGATTCATATCTACATGCATGTTGGCAAGAATGCAAAAGAAACTGCAGAAATTAAAACTTTATCTGCAGAATGTTAAAGGACCCAGATACAGCTTATACACAGGTCCAGAATTTTAGTTTTAGGATCTACTAGAATATATTTACATGCTTTAATGTTCAAATACTGTTATTTTTCTCATTCTATACACTGAAATACTCCAGTTTGGTTCATGTCTCTTTAAGGCTTCATAGAAAAGTCCGCTCTGATTTGTGCTTGGTTCACCATCATGGAGGAACTTCCAATCCCTTAAATGCACCTTGAGCGAGTTTAGAGGACAATAGACCACTGGTATATCCTCATCTCATCTCATTATTGACAGGCCGCCATGTGTCACTGTTATTACTTCTCAGTCAGATCCGCCCCTCGCTGCCGATGCCAAATTCAAGGCTTCAGAAAGGGAGAAACCAATGAGTGGCAATGTGGTCATCAATCTTTTAAATACAGTGTATGGTTCACTCTTGCAGCCAACAACGAAACATTTGGTGCGCTTTACTCGTGTCTGACACACTTTAGAGTTAACAGAAGGAGCTCTAGCGAGGAAATAATGGCGGATTTTGAGGCAGCTGCTCATTCTTTGATGAAGGGTGTGACAAACGAGCTGCAAATGTGTTACATGGTGACGTAGGGAAGTAACAGAAGAAAATCCAGTTAACTCCCTTTGATGCAGACCTAAATATAAATGTCACTTTAAGTCCCTCTTCTTTAAAACAATCCATTTGCATGTTGTTAATTCACTCGATTGTTTGACTGAATGATTTGTGTGCACAGTTTGACACCGCAAAACCGTTTGAACATCGGTAGGCTGCAGCAGGAAACTTTCTCAGTACTCACCTTACATCTCAGTTTAACCTGTGTTCATACGAGTTGGATTTTGTGACAAGTGTGATGTGGAAATGTGAAGTCTCCAGTGTACATACACTAAGAACAGACTCTCAGTGAAGGAGGAGACATCTTGTTCCCAGCAGGGAGAAGGAGGAGATGTAATGTAATTGAACTGGTGTAGGTGGGAAAAAAAAAAAAAAAACTCCACATTCCTCTGGAGAGGATCTCTAACATTTTTTTGATTTCAAGTTTAATATTGGTGGTAAAATAAAATGGAAACTAGACTTTTGATTCATCTTGTTTTCACCTGAGAGAGACCTCGACATTGCAGTTCAGCGCCACAGACGCTCCACAGGTGTTTGATGTGTTCGATAATTTATTTAGTCACAAAAGATGGCGACCCGGCATTATGTTGTTGACCACCAAACCACTTATGATTCAAATGTCAGGGTCAGCTTCAACAAAAGAGAGACCGATAGTGTTGGAGCAGGTCAAAAACACTTTTAAAAGTCTGTTTAAACTCAAATCAAATAAGGTTCTCTGATAAAAGTATGTTTTAAAAAGAGACTCGGTGACTCAGCGACCTGATTTCCTCGGGCAGATTGTTCCACAGCCTCGGGCTCCGACTGCAAATGCTCTGTCCTCTTCACTTTGCCCCTCGAACAGACAAAAAAACAAAGATCTGTGCCGATGTGCGCCGTACTAAGAGGTCAGAGATGTACAGAGGTGGGAGAGAGGCAATAAAGTGGCCTGAAAGTAATTTGAAAAACAAGATCAAGTAGTTTGTAACACCAGCACACATCTGTTTATCTCAAGTTGTCTCTCAAAGATTTTTAAAAAATGCAAGGCACTGATTGACTTTCAAACCGTGTCTTGTTGCTGATGAGTTAAACCCACGCTTTGGTTATTATATCGCGGCAGATAAACATCACAATGTCATCTTTTTCTAATATTGTGTAGTCCTTCTAATCCCGAACCTTCTGAATGACGTCGAATTGTGGATTCTTCTTTACTGAGCACACATTTTTCATCTAAAGACAGTCGTGATGGTTGTTTCTGTTTAAAGTGAAAGCACCTCTCTCACTCTTTACGACCTTCCAGGTGTCTTTACCGGGTCGAGAGCTCTGACTCACACTCCGGAGCCGAGCATCTCTCCTTTACCTGAAGGCTTTAACAGGCTGTTGTTTTAATTAAGCGCCCAGACGAAGCAGCACCGAGCAGCGCTGACAGGGGAGGGGAGGGAAGGGAGACAGAAATTAGATGGATCATAGCAAGTTTGAGGGTTGGGAATTTTTTTTTTACAGAATTATACTGGAGGACATATTTGACTCCCACATCCTTCAACATTGTGCCACGATGAGAGAGGAAATTTCTGATTCTGTCAAGGGCGAGGTGCCTGATGTAAGGCTGCCGCAATCCTGGTGTGGGCACTCACATCTTTAAAGCCCGCGACAACTGGTGTGGCTGCTTTAATGTATATGCATATTCCTGCAAAAAAAAAAAAAAAATCCTTATTTTTTCTGAGGTGAGTTCAAGAGGCTTTGTTGTAGTCTCTGAGATCTCAACATGGAAGAATAAAAAAAAGATGAGTGAACACATGCAGAAACCCTCTTAACCTCCTCTCAAAGAAAAAGAAGGAGTGAAGTGGCGTCGAGGCGCCTCCCCTCCGCAAGACCCTCTTTTCCCTGGGTGATTGAACCTGGCTTTTTTTTTTCTTTCTCCTCTCCTTCCACCTCTCCATTTTGCCATTCTCTAATGACAGACATTTTCCTTTTTCTCTTTTGTTGCCTCTCTCTCCCCTTCCCCTCCTCCTTTCTCTCCCTCTTTTTCCTCATTTTTGAAGCTGCTGCTGCCACCGCCTTGGTCATATTCTCCACATCAAATAGTGGGAAGATGTGCAGAGACCTGTAGAAGGTGGAGAGGAGAAGGAAGAGGTATACAGTCAGATTGAGAGATTAGGATGAAATGTAAAGAGCGAGGGAGGGAGGGAGGGAGTGTGAATGAGAGAAGAAGTGGGTATACCTCAGGGATGGGTTATTACTTTTAAATGCTCCTCTGCGCCGCCGTCCTCTCCCCTCCTCCCATTCTTTCCTCCCCCATCCTCCCCCACTGTGCTCCAGGAGGAGGTATGAAAAGGTTATTATGTTTCCTTTAGAAATGGCTCGCTCTCCGTCTGCGCCTTTCATCTCCAAATGGAATAACCTCTCTACAGTAGCTTTCTTCTTTTTTTTTTTCCTCCCCTCTCTACACCTTCATTTCTCTTCGCAGTATACAACACATGCTCCCGTCTTCTTCTCATCCTTTCTCTTCCCGTCTTTCTTTCTTCTCCCCCTGCAGCCGTCTTCCATCTGACTCTTTAATCCGTCTCTCTTTTTTTTCTTTCTGGCTTTTGGTGTTGAGTATAATCAATGCTCTGTAGGCACACGCCTTATCAGTCAGTTCAGTTAGATATGGTGCTCCTACCTCAGTCACCAGCTATCATACACAGCAGTTATTATGTAAAGTAGGCATTAGGTGTATGTATGAGCAGGCTTTTCCCTGTCTAGAACTGTGGCTTTTTTTTTTACATAACATTTCAGCCTCCTCTCTTTATTCTCTGTTTCAGAAAGGGGAGGAAGCCGGCAGCGTGGTGTTGGAGGACGGACGTGAGCAGCTGATGTACGAGATCCCCCTCAATGAAACGGGCTCGGCGGGCCTGGGGGTCAGCCTAAAGGGGAACAAGTCCAGAGAGACAGGAGAGGACCTGGGGATCTTCATCAAGTCCATTATACACGGAGGGGCCGCTTATAAGGTATAGAATCCACGCCTGATGTCTGCGCTGAGCACGGCTGGGCCACTCAGCAGCCTTTAATGCAGGCCCTCCGCTTCAGATAATCCATAAATGATATACGGCATGAACAGCCACAGCATTAAAACCACTGACGGGTGAAGTGAATAACAGTGATCATATCGTCACAATCTTGCCTCCTGGCATTTATCTGGATCTCACTGTGACATCCCACCTAAACATTGCCACACACCAAGCACACCCAGAATCCCAATCTGAGAATTCATGGGATGCACCAGAGCAAGCCCACCCACAGAACCCAGAGGATCCACGGCTAATTGCCGGATACCACAGGACACACCAGAGCTCCAGACAAACTGCTTAGAATGAAAGGATGCAGAGACGATTTTAATGTTGTGTCTGACTGTTATATGCTAATGCCTGTAGCTTATTAATATATGTGAAGCAACGCCGCCATGTTGTCAGATCTCAGGAATTAACTTGGTCAACATAATATTGTCTAACCAATAAAAACATTAGGGTTCTTAGAAAACACAATCTTCCTTTAAGTAATTTGTTGAATCAAGCAAAATCAAATCAAGTTTTTTTTTTCCTGTGCAGCATGTTTAAAAGCAACCCAAGTTGATCAAGGTGCTGTACATGTTTTAACAAGTGCAACAACCAATATATGTGCAAAAAGCAACAGAAAACAGGACAGAAATTAGTTATAAATGCCTAAAAACAAACATTACAGGATGGAAACTTGTAAGATCAAATTCTAAATTAAAGTATACGCAAGTTCTTAAATATTAATACAACTCAGTGTCACTGAAAACGCATACTTCTTAAGATTTTTCTTTAAAGTGTCACTGGCGAAGAAACATTTGCTTGAAAGAGGAAAGCTGCTCCAAAATGCTGGAAACATGATCTCCCCTCCACCACTAACCTCCATCAGAACAGTTAACAGCAGCTGTTCTGAGGATCTAAGAGGCCTCGAGGACGCAAGTTCTGAAAAGGAACCCAGGTGCCGACTCGTGCATGACCTTACAAACACAGATGTAATGTTAAAGTCACTTCTAGATTTAACAGGTAGCCACTGCAGGGATGTTTAATCAGTGATACGCAGCTCATGCAAGTTTCAAGTGTGGCCCAATCCACACATTAAAACCTGCGCAGCCAAAGTCCTTGAGAACCATTGACTGTTTATCACTGCAAGATGGAGACAAAATGAACTAATAATGTTGCAGGGTGAAAACATGGCGTGTAAAACATCTCATTTCTGTATTTTAATGGAAAGTTTTTAATTCACGCTATTCATTAACCATCACAGAAAACTACTGGTGCTTTAAAGAGCTCCTTAAAAATGCATTAAATCTGAGAAATGAGAGGATTGCAGGAACGTTCTGAGATGCACATTACGTTCTGTAGGCAGATGTATGTTCTTGCTTCTCTTTGAATGATTATTTTCTTCCGAGCGTCTTCCCCGCCAGGCGCGCGGGCGTCACGGAGACCTTGCGTTTTTTTTTATCTTACTTGTTTTCTTAGTTTTATTTGCTCACGCTCTTTCCCCTCCTCTCTGATGTCTTTCTCTGTCGCTTCCTCTCATCTCCTCTGTCTCATTTCCTGTCTTTCTTCGAGGCCAGAACCCCCTCCCTCCTCGCTTCCCTTCACCTCTGACACCCGTTGACCCCGAGCGGCCTCGTCACATCAGCGCCGCCGCAGCCTTATCTGTATCACTCAGTGCTCACTTGAAGTTGCGAGTGCATCAGGAAGAAAAAACATCCCATTTCAGCACTTTGGAGATTCCTCCACTTGGCCTCAATATCTGGCCTCCCCCCCCCTCCACCTCCCTCCTCGCACGTCAGAACTTCTCGTCGCTGCTCCCAGATCTGCTCGGCGCAGAAGCGAGTGTGTCGCTGTAGATAAATGGCTGGTCTGGGATCAGGACGGCCAGACGTCAGCTCCCAAAAGTGCCTTCAGAAGTAGTTTTCCGACAGCTGCCAATGCGGATAGCGCTCCGACAGAATGGCCTAGTAAGATCTCTCGCTGGCTGCAAAACAGGTCTCTGGGACAAGATACCACATAAGAGGAAGAAAGACATGAAGGAAGGGAGACAGACAGACAGACAGCGGCGAGGGAGGAAGGGAGGCCTATTGAAAGAAGACGAAGGGAGGGAATCTGAGAGGGAAGAAATGAGCGGCGTCGCACAATAGAAAGACGGGAAGAGGGAGAATAAGAAGAGAGAGAAAGCAAATTGAAAAGTGGAGACACTCAGCAGGAACACAATACATGCGAGTGTGTGTGTCTGTGTGCGTCTCCTCCTCAACGTCGATGCATGCTAATGAAAAGCAACTAAGGGGCCTGATGAGACTTTGCAGCGCCAGGCCTGTGCAGAGGAGGAAACCCGGCTGTCCCCTGAGTCTGACTGACACACACCAAATATCACACAGCAGGCAAAAAAAAAGGGAGGAGATGAGGAGAAGTCACGGAGAGATCTAACCTATTTCCATTAAAGAGTTTTGGGGGGACTGTCAGGCCCGGGGCCTCAATTATATGAAAAAAAAATAGTCTGACTTTATCCCCAATCCTGTCATGCAATCATATCAAAGCGTATGCTAAAAAAAAAACAAATTAAAATTACATGTAGCGTGCTGCCGCTGCTTACATGGAGAATGAAGAAATTAATAGGGAATATCACAGACGCCTGCTAGTTTTGGCATAAACATCTATTTTTGATGACATCCTTGGATTTGATGCAGATTTTTTAAAAAAACTGCGTGTGTGTGTGTGTGTGTGTGTGCTTGGTGGCATCCCAGCATGCATCTGAGGTCAGCCTCGATGGTGCCTTGTTAATGAGGTGGGGTCGGAGGTCAGCGCCGGCCTTAATGTGACGGTCACGACTCCTCACACTCCGAGAGAGCCTTCAGTTTGTCTCCAAGTCTCTTCATCGTTTTTTTCTTTTTAATGCCTTTTGCATTGGTTTCCTCATTTGATCCCCCCAATCTCTGCCTCTCTCTCTCCCTCTCTCTCCTTCGCTCGCTCGTCCCCTCCCGCCCCCTCTCCCCCCCCTCCCCTCTCTCCCTCCAGGGCACTATTCTGTGTTGCCTCTCTACAAGAGGCTGCTATTTAAAACACTTAGAAGTGATTTAGTGCCCACGGAGGCTATTCCATTAGCTGCTCTATGTATTTATCATGGCTCTCCCGCTCTCAGTAGATTGCTAACTCTACAATTTTCTTGCCTTACCCCTTCTTCCATTTTCTACTCTGCTTTCTCTCTCTCACACATTTCACACCTCTCCCAGTTTGTCTTCTTCCCTTTTAAAACTTTACTGGTGTCCTGTCTTGAGTGTTTTACTTCATGTAACATCTGTAATCCTCTTTTGTCCATCTGAGACATGAGCACAATAATGCTGAGAACACTAGTCACTGCTCTTACTAGTTAAGATTAAATCAAAATGAGCAAACAGTAAAAGATACTCAGACCTCATGTGAGTTACTCCAAATAATCTCACCGTCATGTTCTCCCTGCAGGATGGCCGGCTGAGCGTCAACGACCAAATGATTGCGGTTAACGGCGAATCGCTGCTCGGCCGCTCCAACCACGCCGCCATGGAGACGCTGAGGAGGTCCATGTCGTCGGAAGGAAACGCCAGAGGGACCATCCAGCTCGTCGTGCTCCGAGCACCCAGACAGGGACAGCAGGTTTGTTATCAAACTTCTCGCTGAATTGTGAGATTCCAGGAATGCAACGTTTTATGGCGAATGTATTTTTATAATTTGTTTTTCAGTTCATTAGATGATTTCAGCTCATCTGGATTCCAAAAGTCACTCACTTGCAATTTAGAAAAGCAGAAAGGAATAACATTTTTAAGCCATGGAAGTGCTCAGGCTTAATTTTTGGAGGCATTTGGAGTCTAGCATCTTGGAAAGGGCAGGAAGGTTTACATCAGTGGGCTGAATCTTATTAAAGTTATGCAGAAATTAAATAGGAGAATAAGAATCTTGTTATTAATACCACACTGCAAATGTTAAACCCCCAAGACTTAAAGTGCAACATAGTGTTGTGTGAACAATCTGAACCCCCGAGCAGTTTTTTTTTACAGCAATTCTACTCACTGCTCGGTCATTTGTCACTGCAATATAAAGTCCTGCACCTCTGTGGAAACAGCACAACCACGGCAACAACTAAAGAGTGCTCAAAACAACTTTATTTTTCCCTAGTTTATGTTAAAACTCAGGAGTAGAATGGATGTTAGGTGTAAATGTGGCAGAAGATATGTGTTTTAAAATGAACATTAGCACACATTTGCATGGATGAAGCCTGACAAAGAAATCACACAGCTCCCATCTCAGACACGACTTGGAATCATTTTGACTTTTTACACAAAATCCCTAAAAATGTTAATGTTGTTAAATTTCCTTATTACAACAGACTGTACTTACTTCACTCCTTCGCTTTTGAAGCCTTGGTGTATGTGGAGCAGCATGTTATAATTTGAGTTTGGTGAGATGAATTTGGCGACATTAAAAATTCAGGAAGGCTCATGCATTATGAAATCCTCTGCACTATCAGATTATTTATACCATAAAAAGCGACGGCAGATTTTGAAAGCAAAATTAATTATATACATATTATTTGCACCGGGATTGTTTTTCTCCCATGTTGTCATCATTGCAAAAATATATATCTGTAGTGGTTAAAGCAGCTGCCCTACATGTGGGTTGGCAATATAGACTCAGGCTTAAGCGCTAAATCTTTTTACAAAACCCAGTTAAATTGATTGTAGAGTGATACAGATGGTGCTCTTTTTTTTTTTCCTACGACAAACAAAACCTTCTTCAGTATTCAAAAAGCCCTCAGCTCAGTCGTTGTTCCGAGTACAGTCTCTGCCTCTTATATTATAAACACATGTGGATAAAAATATTGAAAATAAAGGCTCCCTTTGTGACAGTGACTGTCATGCTGGATGATGTGTTTGGGTGTTAAGTCTGCAAAAGCGATATTCTCTGTCAGTTTTCTTTCCATAAAACTACAGTGGATGTGGACTAAGTTGACACTTAAACAAGAAGGAGGAGGTAGCAGTTCAGTTTCTTATCAGGAGTCCTTTGATAAGGCGTGTGGCTGTTAATTGACACAACAATGGCTGCTGGAGAGGATGAAAAAATGTCAAAGTCATACATGTTTTGTTTTTTTTTTATTCTCCACAGATGGGGAGTGCCAGCCCTTTACCAAGCACAAATAGAAATGTCTCCGCCGCCCATCAACCCAACACCCAAGCAGGCTCCAGCAATCAGGTACGAGCGGGTGACGCCTGCCACCGACCGCAGCCGTCTCCGCCTCGCCGCTCCTCCTCCCTCCTCCCCACGCTGAGGAGGCGAGCGTCCGAGCCGCTGCCTCACAGCCACAGGCAGCGTCACACACAGAGGCCAGGGGAGACACACACCAGATACACCTACGGGTTCAAACAAACCGACAAACGTAGCGGCTACACATTCGGCTTCGCGCAAAGGGATAACGAGTACAGTGACGACGAAGGAGCGCAGAACCCGGTGTGCAGGCCGACCACGAGGTACAGGTTCGGGTTCGTGTCAAACAGCCAGACGACGAGCAGCTTAAACACCCCCACAGAGGCGAATTTAAACCGGCACGGATACACGCACAGCCAAACGCTCGCAGACATACAGAGCCACGGCAGACTCGACAACACGCACGTTGTCGTAGTCGACTCTCAGGGAAACACACAGCGTTACGTGGAGGTCAGACACGCACGCAGCCGCACGCTGGATGACGTCCACAGACGAGACGGCTGTCAGAGTAGCAGTTACACCGAAAACATCAGAGCGATGGCGGGGCAGATGTACGGAGATCCGCCCACGCACAGCAGGACGCCCGGTCGCTACAGAAACAGATCCGCAGACAGATACGTAGACGCACACTCGTATAACTACGTACACAACCGGGCTCTGACGAGACAACACTTTGGGCTTTGAGTGTGACTGCATGTGTGTGTGTGTGTGTGTGAAAGTCTTAAGAAGTACACAAACCCAGAATTAAAATGGGCCAACTTTATCTCTAAATCTCTGACGAAATGTTAATGAAATGAAATTATTGAGAAAGTTTTCTCTTTTGCACCAAATGCGCCACGACGGTACGTTTTTAGTGATCGATGACGTGGAAGCGTATTAATCCGTCTAAAAGCTTTCCCTTTGCCAACTCCACTAACTGTCACACCATTAATGTTTAGCTGCCTTTTTAAAAAATGACTCATAACTCGGCGCAGTACTAAATTCATCACTGTGTACCACTTTCCTTTCTGTCACGTTGGTTTAATTCACTAAAATTAGCTGGTATGTGTTTTTTTTTTTTCAACCCACTGCATTGCCTGCAGACTGTAAAGGCTGAATCTACTCTCTCCTGTTTTGTCTATTTGTGTAAAGTTTGGTATTTCCTTCTTTATTTCCATATTGGTTTAAGGGAATGTACTCTTGCTTTCCTGCCTCACCTGCCTGTCTCTCCTCTGTTAAATAAAGCTAATCTGAAGCCTCCTGCATGCCTGTCTGCCTGTTTTTCTGTTGGGTTTTCAGCAGCTTCCTCCTCCTTCGCTTCACTCTCTGTTTATTAAATGGTATTTGGTTCCCTCTTCCCCCCTGTTTTGGCCTCAGTGTCTCTTTTCTTTTCTGTCTTTAGGTCTTTTTTACAAGCTCCGAATAAAAACAACTTAGAATCCTCTCAAAAGCAGCATCAAGATAGAACACACGATTCAGATTTTTAACCAAAGAAGACAAGAAATTGTACATTTATACAGGGTGACTCACTCTCGGTCATAAAGGATATAATGGAGGCATTTCAAGAATTAAAACAATCAAGAAATACTCATGAGTATTAATGAATGCTGTGAAGCACTGCTGGGAACACACTCAGTTGTTAGAGTCGTGATACATGTGTTAAAAACCTGACTGGTGGGTCCTTCTTAGACATCTTGCTTCTACATATCATATGTTTAGGTACTTTATGAAGTGTTGTTTTAGAAAAAGTTAGTGGAAATCAAGTGTTTTTGCACACGTAAGGGGAGTTTTTTATAAATTAATGTGCATAATGGGAGATGGAAACACCTTTTTTGAATAAGTTCGACCATTTAACTCGCATCACTGATCAGCTGCCCTGTCCCGTCCTTTGTCTAAATCTACGGACAGCATGAAACATGGTTGATGTCAGCTGACATAAAAGAATAATCGCAACTTGCTCAACTGAGAACAATTCCTGAAGAATTCTCTCCATTTTTGCCTCATAGATGCCCAACGTTTTGTTTCTTCCTCATCTTAGTGGAGTTGATCATAAACTTTATTTAAAAGATGGACGACCATAACGTCTATCATTTTGAGGCCCTGAGTTTGGTATTTGGCCGTCACCATGTTGCTCTTTTGAAACAACAAGCAGGGTTTAGATCTGACTGAGAACTTGAGGACACGATGCACAGTGATAGGGTGGCAACCTGTCAATCAAAAGGTAGCCTCGTCCTTCAACAGACCATCGTTTGTTGTCTATTTTACTTGAAAAGTTACAGAATAAACATTGTGCTGTATTCAAAAAGACTAGAAACTCACGATTGAGACCACAAAATCATTGAAAAAATGTCCACTGAGGTAACAAATCAAGTGAGAAGTACCTGGTGCTTAGAAAGATGCACGTTTAAGGCACTTTCACTTCAATTTCCAAACTCAGCGGCTACTTCCATCTTTTTGTAGAATCTTTGCGGCAAACAACTTGTTTTGTATTTGGCTTCTTTTACTGTTTATTTGTCTAAACCACCACCTCTGATGACACAACCATGTTTATTTGCTCCAAAGCAGTGAATGGAAACAAGTCAAACTCACATTTTTCTTTTTCACTTTTTGCGACATTTTACTCGTTGGCCTCAGATTCTCTTGACATTTATATGGAAACGAACGGTTTGTTTCTCGTTTACTGAAGCTTTACACCAAATATTTATTTCAGTTAGTGGACTGTGGAAAGATATTCGCCTAATTTGACAAAAATTGCATCAGATTACGATTACCAACTTCTATGTGTTCAAAAAAATTCTTGACTTTGCTGGACCACTATTTTTTATTTTTTAAACCCTGATGGTAAATGAGTAAGCAGATATCAAGATATCAAGCCCGATGATTGCACACGGCAAAAAAAAGAAGCTGTTTTTAGGTCAGCCTTTGTACTGCGTTAAGCCATGAATGATGATTTGAAAAGCTTAACAAGATGTTTCGCAGCAGATGCTCGGCGATAATGTGTGAAGAGAGGAGTTAAAATGGGAGTGTTCCTGGGCTGACCTGCTCATTGAGGCATTTACATCTCTTATATGCTTTACTCCCAGTGTGTGTGTGTGTGTGTGTGTGTGTGTGTGTGTGTGTCGACTGAGCCTCTGGATAAACGCTATCAAACACAGTTCAGAGTTCACGATTTATCTGCAGAGTCCTTCTCCAGTCTGGTGACACGGTGGGGTCATGTGATAAAACAAACGCCCTGAGCCGCTCAGACTCTGTCTGGAGCTGGCTTCCCATTAGGCCTTAATCCTAAACATGCTAAACTGCCACATTCACCCTATTAAATCTAACTTTTTAGCTTTAAATGCTTCCATGCATTATATTTCCTCTCTTGTGATGCATGAATTAGGTGCTGATTTACTGGCTAAACTTGTGTTCAGATGTAATTGGATATTGTCGGTGTAATTATATGGCATTCTGTCTGTTTATTGACATTGGCAATATAAGTACATTAAGGCCAGCAAGACATTTATAACCTGTAATGTGCAGCTTTTCATACATTTATTTTGTTATTATTAAGACCTGTGACCCCTGATCTTTCCTTTAGTGCAGCGATTCCTGAAGTTTTCAACCTGCAAAAGAACCAGAGACCCCCAGTCTCCCTGGAGGTGGCTAAATCATAGAAGTGTTGCACACAGCTGCTCACTAACAGGCGCGACAACCCAGGAAAACTCCACAGCCCAGCAACCATAATATTATTTTATAGTAGTTTAATATATGCTAGAAGCAGAATGCATCAGTCAAAGTAATTTCCAAGTATGAAGTGAAGTATTGAGCAAACATACAGTGTGTAGGAGTAGCAGACTCAGGTTGTTTTTATATTTGTTTTAGCTTTTTTTTTTTTTGCCGTGATGGAAGAAATACAGGCAAGACAGAGTTGGGGAATGAGATGTAGCAAATGGTCCGACGGGCTGGGATTGGACTGGCTGCTCGGGGCATTAGCGCCGGTCCGGTTATGTGTCTTCATCACTCAGCTGTTAGGTCACCCCAACATATGGGTTTTTAACCACAGTAGCTGAAATATGTTATTTTTTTTACATTTAAAACTTATTGAACTTCTGGAACTTGTCTTGCGAGCTGCACTTTGGGAACCACTGAGCTAGAGCAGACATTTGTAGCTTTCTCATGCAGCTTTTCACCACATTGTAAAGTCTGTTTGAGACACTTTTATAGACTTTACTTGAAAGTTATTTTAAAAAAAACAAACAAAAACAGCTATTGTATTAGCACGTCTTCTCTCACTTTTATAAGAGGTGTTCGACTGCCATGGTAACAACCTTATATAAATATATTTAAACAGAGACAGCTTGAATATCAATGACTATTTTGTTTGTATAGCACTTTCTGTTCAGATTAGTTCAGTTTAAAGTACTTCACAGGTAACTTACCACTAACAAGATGAAACAGACAAACACTAAAACTGTAGCACACAAGGGCTAAAATTATAGAGGAGTAAAGAAATTAGGAAGTAAGTTCAAAAGCGTAAACAAGAAGCGACACAATTGTGTGTTGTTCTTCTTGTCCTGTCTTGCTCTCCATCCTGAGCAGGATGCTAGGTGGGTGGGTGACACAGTAGGCTGAGGCCGGGCTAAGCCTCTCAGAAGCCCTTTGTATTCAGCTGTAGGTTAAGACTAGCTGCATAGATTGATTCCCCCCCTCCTCCCCACAAACCCCCCCACCCACACCCCCTGTTTACTTATTGTTGTGGGATTAAGATATCTGACTGCCTGTCTGGCAGGCTGCTTCAAAAGCCTCAGGCAAACCGGAGGCCGAGGGATGGATGGCTGGATAGACGGGTGGAGGGATGGGGGAGTTCTGATGCGATTTATGTGTCACCGACACATGCGGAGGAACTGTCAGAACTTTGTGCGCAAATTCACACGAGGCACATATATGAGCTCAGTGTGACTGACAGCTGTGATGTAGCGACATATTAAGATGTATGGTATCTACTAATGATACCCCAGAGACGGCATGACATTGTGAATACACCCCACCTAACGCTTTGATAAGAGGAAGCTACCACAACACCTTTCATTATTGGATGCTGAGTCTTCGGACTGTTTCGTGTGTAGGTGTGTGTCTTTTTTTTTTTTTTTGCTTGTTTCATGTGTGTGTGTGTGTGTGTGTGACAGCTGTACCTCCCTTCTCTTTGACCAGAAAAGGCTTCTTTCATCCTCCACCAGCACTGATTCCCATCAGCACCGCTCGTGCCTATCTCCATCTGTGAGGTGGGGGTCCTTTGTAGTGCTGAATGGTTGTTCGATAATATGCCTGTCAGTGCTCTCAGGATTATCTTAATTACTGTGTTGTGCACATGAAGAGACTCACCTTTTTATTTTTGCGGTTTCACATGGTTAAAATCAAACCCGATTTAAATATTTGCACTTTTTTTTTTTTTTGGCGCTGTAGCTGCTTAGATATTTATCCGTCACTCATTTACTTTAGGGAGGCGTCGATCTGTCCCGAATTCATTCTGCAGCATGGCAACAACCACAAACATACTGCCGGAGTCAGCCTCTTCTGGCTGTACGTTCAAAAGTAAACTGCCAAATGTTGACTGATGTGTTGGCATGTTCACAGTCAAGTCTGAGTCACAATGGATGACAAATTTTCTTCCTCAATTATGATCAACTCGACTGCTTTGTGATGTTTTGTTCGTCGTCCCACTGCACACGGAGTCAAATCCGTTCACATCGCCTCAAAGCTCCGTTCCCGTATCCCCATATGAGGTGAATCATAACTCAGCGGTTGCAGGAAGTGACTGAAGGACGGCAAAATCAATGCAAAACCCGCTAGTTCGCTAGATTTATGTAGGACTCAACTGCAATTGCTCCATGATCTCAGAGGGTTCTTTTCACACCCTTTTGATTTGATACAGTTTGAAAAGGCTCTTTTGTATTTGGCTGTTTGGCTTGTCATGTTGCTTGCTGGTGACAAGAAAACAAGAGATAGTAGATGTGCGATTGTAGCCTGAATTCAAAGATGGACTACTTGGAAATCCCTGCTCCAATGGTAGACTGTCAAGCGATTCCTTTTTTTGATAGATAGTTAGAAATTAAAACAGGTTCGAAACATAGACGACAGAATAATCCCACTGTTTCTACCTATAAGTCATTATTTATGATACATAAAGTCCACTTTTCAGGCTTTTTGTTTCCATCGCACAGCAGGATCTGACAACTATAATCACAATCCTTACCTCAAGTACGCCAAAACAACAACAAATAGCAGCTACTGGACATAATTGTCGTTCTATGACTGCATCAAAAATCCCACATTTTAGATTTGTTATGCTAACCTGCATGATAAATCTTTAGTTGAAGATGGCGATGTTAGAGAAGAGAAGACTGCCACTCATCCAAAACATCACATGAGCAGACAAAATGATACCAGTCAGGGTTTGTTTTCTCTGAGTTTAGCCAATTAGTGTTACTGAATTACTTCATCCCGCAGTAGATGCTCATTTATTTCCCCAAAAACAACCCTGAAAGAGGTTCTACAGGAGCGCTTCCTGTGGTCGGAACACACACAAAGGTTCAGCTCGCCCTAAAATGGCCCTCAAGTTTCTGCAGAGAAAAGGCTGATTATTATTATTTTTTCTTTTTATTTCTTATTGACACCATCATAAATTCGGCAAAGTGATTTGTAATTTGCTGTTAGTCACCTGAATTTGTCTTCTCTTTGTGTGTCCGTAATTGAAGTCGACACACAATGCTGGCCAGGAAATGAGGTCAGCTCTCAGTGTGCTTTACTTTGCGGTTATTACTCTGAGTTATTGCGTTAAGTAAGTATAAACAGGCCAAGATTAAAAAGCAACAATTTATAATTTACTCTTGGGTCAGGGCGTTACAGTCGGGAAGCTGATGATACACTGGATGTATATTAAGTCTTGTCAAGGCCACGTCAACACAAATAGTAATCATAGCCTCAAAAATAGAACAGAGCATTGTTTGTACACAGAGATGGACAAGCCTTTAAGAGTTGGAGTGTGAGTGGAGCTGATGTGAGCCATGAACTCAACAATGGCACCTACCCTTCACCTAAAATAGCCAAACCTTTATTTATGCTTAACTTAAAGCTTTAATTCACTTTAAATTGCTGAGTTGTATAGAAAGTCGCCCACTGCTCAGTTGTCATGGATGTAAAAATGAGCATTTTTTTGTACTGGGCTGTAAATGTGTTTATGTCTGCTGTCAAGTTGGACATTTTAACCATTTTAGACCATGCAGTTCTACGGGGACTGACTTGCTCGTGGACTCACTCTCAAGTGACAAGTCGAGGAACTTTTATGCTTGCTTCATGTTTCACTCCAGAGGTTACCACTTGGTTAACAGGCTATACTTTTATTAGAAACTGCTGCTAGAGGATATTTCCTGCCAGTATTTTACACCAGTATGTGGTTAAAAATGAAATTTAGAAAAAGACCAATCCATTTGGGTAATAAAAGAAATGACTTTAATCTTCTGCCATATGAGGGAAGCATCATCAATATTTCAGAAGTCACAACTCTGACTGGGCTTGGCACATTTTCTTGAACCAACCACTTTCTTAGTCTCTCTCTTGATGTCCTCCTTTGTTGACAGGAGCCGTGGGGCCATGATGCATACCAGAGACCTTCAGGACCCTCCAGACCCTCAAGCACAGAGTCGGGCACAAGTCACTCCCCGATGATGACCAACAATTATGCATACTCTGGAAGTGGTGAGCCACGTGCACACTATTTGTCCATTTGAACTGTCAGACAGTCAACATTAGCCCACGAGTGTTTGTGTACTCGCCTTATCTGCAACTGAGTATGTACACACAGTGGGTTTGTGAGTGTGTGCTTGTGTACCTGTGTGTTTGCCACCGCTGCACAGCACGACACCCAGCCAAGGCTCCTGACACCCCCCTTTTTTTTTTTTTTTTTTTTTAGGTCACTGTGGCAGCCACCGTAAGCATTTCATACGCGCTGCATTACTAAATCGTCACATCTTTTTTTCCCAAGCTCTGTCTTTGTATCTCTTTTCACTCTCAGCCCCCTGCATATTTATAGCAGGAGAAAGGGAAGTCATTAACTATGTTTTTCTGAAAGTGATGCTTGCTTTTCATGTGCAAAAGATCTGACCTTGGAATCATTACGCTGATGAAACGACTCCTAAGTGGGCCAGATTTGCATACAGGGTTTTGTGCAGCGTGCGTGCTGTTGTGTTTAAAAAAAAAAAACACAAGAAAGACTAACAAACTGTTTTAAATTCATTCTTTATCTCTCCCCCCCTTACTCCCCTACCCCCTGGGATGCAGGGAGATGCTTTACTCGCTGAGACTCTGTCAGCTCTCCATCACGCCGAAGCAGTCGTACAGTTATTTATTATCAGGAAAAAGGGGAGGAGGTTTCAACACAAAAGGGGTTTACAGTGGGGAAATGATGCGCTCTCGGGGTTTACAGTTTATGGAAATGTTGTGGGAAGAGTTGCAAGGAAGTTAGAATGAGGCTTTTGTGGGGGAATGATGATTTTTTTGGTTGAATGTGCATTATGTATGGGGTGTGCGCATTTATTTCTCATGTAAATTTTGTCTTAACGTCTGACCTTGCTAAGCTCTGCATTGGGCGGTATCGATCCTCAGCTGAAGGACACACATTTCTTCACTGCCTGTAATTAAATATCTGTGCGATCCTGTCACAACTGATTATGAGAAGTAACGAATGATATCTAAAACTAGAAGTGTACGCACCCCTTCAGCCTTTATTAAGGTTTTATATCCCCCTTGGACTGACGCTAGAGTTAATTCAGGCAGCTTTGTTTTTGATAGTGTAGCCAGCAAAATCAAGGTAAAAGCTAAAAGCAAACAACCGAAATAAAAAAATAATTAATTGCCGCTGAAAATGTGTTAAAATTAACAACAACAACAAAAAAAAGTCAACACCTTTTTTTGTGCTCCAAGAGCTTTGATTCCTTCCTGATAAACAAAATCTGTTGTTGTTGTTTTTGTTGTTGTTTTGTGCCCATTGGATTATTGTGTTTCTCTTCAGCTTCGTATCCCGCTGCGGCCACCAACGGCAGTCACTACGGCAACGACGACGAGGAGTCGGAGCAAGACTTCCCCCCGCCGCCCTCCCCTGGCGCCGTGGAGGAAATGAATAGAGACTTGCCACTAACTCCCCCTCACCCCAGGTACCCCCACCCATAACACACACACACATAATGTACAGTACACAGCACCATCGACACTCTATTAATCTGCACACACAGGGCCACAGTTATTATGCTCTCATGGTACTCATAATATGGCCCTCTGTGTTATGAGATAAAGAAGAGTCATTACACAAAATATTACAGCGCGCATATGCATTATTTAGACTATGCGGTCTAATTGCAGCAGCTTATTTGCATTATGCATAAGTAATTATGGCGATAGCGTAATAGAGTAAATTCAGTAGGAATTTGAAAGCTTAGAGGGGACTGATACTTCTATTAGTGTCCTGCTGTACAGTCACAAACAGCCTTTAGACTGTAAATATGTGTGAAGCCAATCAGCTTCTGTAGGATCATCAGCTTAGAAATCGTCTTATGAGCATGGAGACGTCTGATTTGCACTCACTGGACAACATCATTGCTTTGGGGCGAAATCCGGTGCTAAAATCACATGAAATAGACGTCTTTATTTCATTTAATCTCTAAATCGATTCAGTCTTTGGTTTGGCTAAATTGGTTTTCAAAACATCTTTTTTGAGGTGCTATAAAAAAAAAAAAAGGTCAGTGCCTGTAGAAAGCCTAAAACTGACTGATTTAACTTGAGCTGCCAGCGGTACACTGCTCCCAGTGCTCCTGCCACCACTCCTCCACCAGTCAGAATGGAGGCACTTCAACTTTAATTTCATCTTGATGGAGGGAGCCAGATGTTGTGAGTAGAAAGGCTTTGGAGTGACGATTGTGTTCGTGCTGCTACATGTTTTCAACAGCGTGTTAGCAGGCACATTGTCATGATGGAGGATCCAGTGACATCACAGTTCAGGCTGGTTTTACAACCTAAGATTTCTCAGGATGTTATAGTGGAGCTTGACTGTCTGACCCTGGAGGATGACTTCACTATGTACGGTCAAGTAAATGTCGAACAAAATGACGAGCGTGCTCTTAGTGTGCCTCCTGATCTAACACGCTTTCTTTAGTCTTGGACAATGTGAGCTTTTTCATTGGACTTTGATACTGTCCGAAATGTGCAACAAAAGTGCATGTAACATTGGTCCAGATGTTGATCATCTCTCCTGGAATCCTGACTTACTATTTGCATCTCTTGCTTGTTTAACAGAAACAGAATCTGAACCTTTTGAGAGCATCACATAGTACCGTAAATTCCAGATTATTTAGCGCACCTGAATATAAGCCGCACCCACTAACTTTAAAAAGAAAACAAGTTTTGTACATATATAAGCAGCACTTGTCTGTAAGCTGCAGGTGTCCACGTTGGAACATGAGATATTTACAAAGAAAGATGTTACACAGGGAGTTTTTT